TAGCAACAATACCTTTACAAGTCATTGAACCCGTTTGAAAAATGTGTTTCATGAAATATTTCGGTTTTAAGAAAAAGTCTAACAAAAAAGCAAACAAGAAAAGCAATAAACATTTTACAGCGACCCAACTGAAAATCATAATTAATCATAAATTACTGTTAATGGTTATTTATTTAAGTTCGTACATAAATATTTCTTAATTTATTTCTTACCTAATTAATTTTATACTGTTTCAATTACTTATTTTTTTCTGCCATGTCTTCATTATTTTTATACCTTCTTATATATCATTTTTTATTACATTCTAGTCCATTGAAACTTTATGAGATATTTAAGTCATTTTATGTAAGTAGATTGTTTTTTAATAAATTAATTGCTGAATATGTGATGAAAGAAATACTCGCCTGAAACGGCTGCCTTCGTTTTTGATTGGAAGAACTGAACCGTTATATCATGTTCTATATCTTCCTCGACCTAGGGCCCTTAAATCAGTTGCAGACTCGTCCCGTTTGTCTACTGGTAAATGTATGACAAAGAAAGTATGATCTACCGATAAAAGTTCTTTTTGGTCCCCATCCATGAAGAAATTTGAATTAAGGTCAGTTCGTGATGAAGTCGTTACCTGATCGAGATCTCTTCCTCTGGAATAAGGACGGTACTGACCTGGAGTCATGGAGTCTTCTTCCGATTCTTCAATCCTTTCTTCCTGATAAGAACTTTTTTCCTTTTCTACAGTCACTTTTTTCTTACTGACTATCATTTTAATTAATGACTTTGTTTTATATCACTAGCTTAACGGTCACGCATATTTATTTATATTAAGTGGCCATGAATCATATTTATATTACTATCAACATCATTTTTCAATTTATGTTAAAAAATATAGGCAGTTAGATCATTATTCGAATTACTACGTCGAATGTACCCTTTTCTTAGTCGGTTACAAAAGTTTATTATTAATTAATGTTGCCCACAAAGTGTCCAATTTATTACACAGTTCTTGAGAGTTTGAGATTTATAAATGAAGAAAAAAAAATAATACATCGGTTCAGCTGTTCAAGAAATTTAGAATAATAATAATTTAATTGGTCTCAATTAAGGGCGATGAAGAACTCAAGAAAGCTCTGCATGATTTAATGCTGACCATCTGGGAGAAGGAAGCTATGCCTACGGAATGAGCAACAGCCATTATCTGCCCAATACATAAGAAAGGAGATCAAACAGAATGCGCTAACTATCGAGGAATCTCACTCCTTTCGTGTGCTTATAAGCTGCTCTCTAACATTCTTTTTGAGAGGATCCTCCCGTATTCTGAAAAGGAACTGGGGAAATATCAGGCTGGATTTCGAAGAGGACGCTCAACGACTGATCAACTGTTCTCTCTGAGGATGATCCTAGAAAAGACTATGGAGCGTAAGGTAGTCACCCACCATTTATTCCTGGACTTTAAAGCAGCATACGACAGCGTTGATAGAACGCAACTATACTGTGCCTTGGAGGAGCTAAGCATCCCTCAGAAGCTCGTACGCCTAATCAAGATGACCATGGACAGCTCGAGATGCAGAATACGCGTCGGTTCTGACGACTCCGAAGAGTTTAAAGTGAGCAGTGGGGTTAGGCAAGGGGATGCCCTCGCCTGTCTATTGTTCAATTTGGCAGAGGAGAAAGCTGTAAGAGACTCCGGTATTCAGACCAAAGATATAATCTTCAATCGCCTGACACAGCTTCTTGGTTTTGCTGATGATATTGACATAGTAGGTAGGTCTGAACGGGCTCTCAGAGAAGCGTTTATAAGCCTTGAAGCAGCTGCAAGACCACTTGGTCTAGAAGTCAACGAGAGGAAAACTAAGTATATGAGAGTTGGCGGTGAGGTTGATCTGAACTCTCCATTTGAGGTAGGTTCTTTTAAGTTTGAGAGAGTGAAAAGTTTTATATACCTTGGGTCTGAAATCAATAGCAAGAATGACATGGCTCAAGAAATACAAAGAAGGATCACGGCTGCCAATAGATGTGTCTTTGGACTTGGCCGACACTTAAGAAGTAGGTACCTCTCAAAGAAGACCAAGCTGATCATATACAAGACCCTTGTTCGGCCTGCTTTTGACATATGGCTCAGAGGCTTGGACGATGACCAAAAGGGATGAGATGAAGCTGAGTGTCTTTGAGCGAGGAGTCCTCAGAAGGATTTATGGTCCAGTAAAGGAGGGTGATGTCTGGAGGAAAAGAAAAAATAGGGAGCTCAGTTCTCTCTATGCAGACATCGACGTAGTCACGTATATTAAACTGGCCAGACTAAGGTGGGCAGGGCATGTGGCCAGAATGAGCACCCTTGAAATACCAAAAAAAATAATGATGGAGGAGCTGCACCTCGTAAGACGGGTAGGAAGGCCGAGGACGAGATGGTTGGACAACGTGGCCTATGATGCGAGAACCCTGCTTGGTGTGCGGAACTGGAGAGCTGCAGCAGAAGATAGAGCCAACTGGCGGAGGCTCTTGGAGGAGGCCCAGTCTCGGTGACGGGATGTTGTGCCATACATGAATGAATGAATTAAGGGCGATAAGTTTCCATTCATACATTACATACAAGAGCAATTAATTAATAATATATATATATACAAATGATTGTGAATGGCTGGTATTTAAAATTTTCATGCGAAAGTTAGTATATTCAGGTTTAGTGGTAGTTTCTGTATTTATTAATATAATAATTTTTTGTATTTTGCTTTTCCAGGTAAGACCCTCTTAGAAACTCCTTAAAATGTGACTTATTAGCAACGTATTTCTGTAAGTACTTTCTCTTTTATTTTTAGTAACCATAAAAATTCCTTGAGCTGTTCACATTTAATTATAGTTTTGCAATATGGTCCAAACTAATAAGAGTTTATAAATATAAAAGAGGTGATTAATATTTTGACTCAGTATATTATATCAGGTAGTATATCAATTATTCGTTTTGTTTGTAAAGTCACTTTGCTACTAGCTTTCGTGATGCTTATAATCTTATGAATAATGAGGACATAGACGATTAACCTGAATCAATAAATTCATGTAATAACAGTTAATCAAAACACAAATAGGGAATTCGGTTTTAAAATAATTAACATTAAAAAAAATACATATTTTAATAATTAGTCATATAATAAAATTTGTATTTTTTTTACATTAGTTCATTTACCATCAGTTGACAAAATTTGTCTTTTATTAAGAGCATTTACAATTGAAATCATAAGAAAAATTATAATGTCTCTACATTTTGTCAATTTAATTATTACCGATTTATTTGATTTTGTATTCAATTGCATTAGCTTATCATATCGCATATCTATTAGTAAGGTTCTTAGAATAAAGATGATAATTTGCATTGAAAAATATCTTGCCTTGAATTAATAAATGTCCAGTAGTATAGTGTGTCCATTTATTACTTGTCGTTATGGGATTTGATGAGCTACCACGCTGAATTATTTAAAACAAGGGGCTCTCTCATAAATTATGGATTATGCATGACAATGTTCACTTCTGCTTCGCGATAGGGAAATATTAAAATGATTTGTTCGGTAAATGTTGGATTCTATGCGGAAATAAGGATGATTAGTCTTTTTGCTATTTTTTTTTCATTACTATATACCGCGTCATTTAAGATAGCTATGATTTAATGATATCATTTGCTAATTATATTGCAATGCAATATATTGCTTATTATATATGTTGCAATGCAACATTACCCCATAAATGATGTTACATCGATAGATAGTATTGTTTATTGATCTGGAATATAAGTTGTATTAATTATCCGCTCTTTAATATCTTGAGTTCAACAAACGGTTTATATTTGTTCATTTATTTTTAAAAACATTTCTGCAGTTTAGTTCCTTTTCAAAAATAAAAATTTCTGTTCATCTATAAGTAATGTCGGTTTTTGAAAACTTATCTGTTTATGTTGATATTACTAATCCTCCCTTTATGAGTGAATTATGTTAGATAACATTACATTTTTATTATAACATTACATACTCTTCTATTTATCACAATTTTGTTGAAGAATGTTAATTATTCTGTAATGAAATCTTAATTAAAATGAATCTTCTCTAAAATCTCATACGCCATGCTATGCTTCGGGAATTCGATGAAGGAGAAAATGCTGTTTCACCTTATCAGAAACGTACTGAAATATAAGGAGAAAACGTCATTAGTGAATGACAGTGGATATGTCCTGGAGAAATACAGTGAACATAATTTTACCTTGTACCTTTTACATTATGTATATTTTATAGCCCTGATGAAGACCAGCAAGGTTGGTCGAAACATCGGCGTAATTAAAAATACTATTTTTATTTGTAGTATTTATTTGACCGCAACACCCGACCAATTCCTTCTCATATTATATCATTGTCAACCATCTCTATATCATTATAATTAGTTTCCATGTGACAGATTATTATATTTCTAAATAAATAATATAAAAACTTCTCAACACTGACCGGTTATCACGTTCAGACTCTTAAAGCTTTTTTATTATAAATTATAATTATATTCACAATTATTTTGATCGTAGACCTTAGTTTAAATTTGTTTTAGTGCCATACGTTTCAAGATTTTAATATGAGATTATTTTGAGAAATAAAAGTCTGAAAATAGCTAAGTCTGAAAATAAATCCTGAAATTAATTAACCACTATCGCCTTCGGTTTTTCTCATTTGTTTTTGTACTTTCGATTCTTTTACTATCCATCGTCTGATGATTTCTGTTTCATAATAATTTTCAATGGTTAAAGAATTTTTATATTATTCTCAATTTCTATCCCATTCTTGAGCTGTGGTATTGTTCGCTAAGATATTGCCTCCGGCTTTTCTATTTACTTCGAATCGCAAATCGTTCGCTTCCCTTTACTTGACGTGCCTCTAGTTGCTAGAGAATAGATTTGCCAGAAGGTAAGTCCTCGCTTCAGACGGTAATAACGACTTATGGTATAAGTTACACAGCAGACAGCAGAGCATTTCACAATGCTTCCTAGCCATTTTTATTTCCTCTCCTTGTGCATCAATAGCATAAATAAGCCAGTAGCTCGTAAATCGAGAAGGTGCGGCCGTCAGCGGATTAGTGCGATATCCCCTGCCATTGTGCAATCCTCACTGACTGGTGACATTGCTGTCGATGCAAGAACGGTTGCAATCTCCTGGATTTACGCAATATCTGACCCCAACTCATGACAGGGCTCTCTGACCTTTTTCCTCTTGCGTACCATTCCTTACACGTGTATTTCGCACTGTCCTGGTCAGTCTTATTACGAAATTCCAGCTGATTATATGCAATAGCTATTGAAATGAACTCTCCTCGGTTCACAAAACTGGACTACATGATAAATTATTAGTGATTCAAGCATGAATAATAAATAGTTGAATTCATTGTTCCGACATTAAGAAAAATAATGTTTTTGTAATTCGCATGTTGTTATTAAAAAAGTTACTTTTAATTTTAACTTTAATGCATACTATTTTCCTACTCATTTATTCATTTATTTAAATTCTGTCAACGGCGTTATGTACATGATAGTGGTTTGAAATATTCAATTGTTTCATCAATGGCTATCCGGATTTTGAATATCTGACTGGAGTATTGTAATATCTTTGATTGTTCGAATCCAAAATGTAAAGATCTGTGATCAAATTTAGGAAATTCCTATTTGGAGTTATCAATGCCATTTTTCATCGAAATGAGATTTGTTCTACTTTATATTGAAATCTGGAAATATAGCAATTATGTATTATTTTGGGTGTTTTTTATTTATTTTTTTTTAATAGCGATAGTTACGGTTAGACTATTTTATTTTATATTTGGGTCGAAGTAAGATTTTTTCACATTTTAATTCTGATAGCTGCGCAATGCGGAATTTCGAAACATGAATCAGGCAAAAATAATTTATCTTATAGTTTTCAAATAACAGAACATTTGAGTTTTTGGTCTAATGTTGTGATGCAAAAAACAAACAATGATTTGTAGAAAGAACTTCCGAACGAAACTTATAAGGCAGTGCAACACCAGCTACAACAATAGGTCTGACCTTGCTAATTTGTGTTTTGGTGCATTTCAGTGAAAGGTCGACATCGGCGTCGAACCTCAAGTTCTGCATTTAAATAATATTTAATTTTAATTTTTTTTTTATTATTAGATTTATTTGAATAGTGACAATACAATCTGCCACATTCAAGGGCATCCGATATTATGGCTCTATGCTTACATTCATTCTTATATATAAATTAAAATACAAGCTAAGAAGAAAATTAAATAAGAATAAAACATAAGTAAAAATATATACATTGTAAGAAATAGAAAAATACTTGTAAAAATTAAAAGCAATAACAGCATAGCAAAAAGAGAAAAATTACTTGTCACGCATTCATTCCTATTTACAATAGATCTTTAAAATACTTAAATATTGTTGAATGCAGAACAGATTAACACTAAGCAGCGATACATATTTTGTTACCCAAACCCATTTTAAATTTCAAAATATTTACCGATTTTCAAATATCTGTTGCTAATCATTCAAAGCTAAAACGATATGAAGTCTGTCTAATTTTTTTCATTTATGAAAAATTATTATGACAAATCATTTTATTTCATTTGATCCGCTTATTTTTAAAAAACGGATCATTCGATTTGAACCAATGTGCAATTATCGGGTATCAAATTCATTTAAAAAATAAATATTTTTTTCAGTTTTCAAATAAAATCATATTAGTTTTTTTTTCGATTACTATCTCTCAAACCTGTTTTAACCAGAGTGGAAAGGTCCAGATTCATTCCTTGGATCTGTTTCGAAATACATTTCAACTCGCCCAGGTCGGATTCGAATCAGCATGATTAAGCTTTCACGATCTCGCCCATTACCATCTCAAATATAATCTTAGTGAAGTGTTTGTATATATGCTCATCCAATATTTTATTTTATGAGTTTCATACAGACAAATTATGGATAAAAATGTACCCAAAATAGTTTAGCGGCAGTTAACATGATGATGCTAAAGAGGACAATGTTTTTTTTTTAATCATATGAACAATCAAAACAGTTAATTTCTCTCCCCTTTCTCCTTGTTTTGTTCGTTTAGTCTTCTGGTTTTGGCTGAGGCTGTGAAAATTTTTGACTACTTGTGTAATTTTTTTTCAAAGCGAACTCTGTTCCTCGTTGACATCTTCTATTCAAATTGCGTTCTAAAAACCAGTGTTTTTAAAAATAAATTAAGAAGAATTTGTTTACATATTTCCTAAAAACATTTGTAAATTCCTAAAAAAAAAAAATAGGGCTCCTTTGAAACGAATAAAGCGTTTTAGAATAAAATAAGTTGATTAGAGTTAGAAGAAAAAATAGTGTATTATTCAGGGAGGAGGATTTATTTAGATTGTACTAATTATAATAAAAAGTTAATTTTTCTTTTCACATTTAGCCCTGTTACGTATTACAGTTCAATGTGACCGATTATACTTTTGAAATAAAATATAATATTTTTCTTTTGCAAAATATTATATTTTTTTTTTGTTAAAATAAAAATGCTTAAAAAAGCTTTATTTTTTTAAATATCTAAGAAGTGCATGCAGATTATATTTCTTTTTGAAATAAACTTACTTTCACACCACTTTTATTTCTGTTAGTTTTTGAAAAATAAAAAATCCAAAAAAATCGGACCATCAGATTTATTGCGTGCTGTTACTCAGAATTAGATACCTCCATTAAAAAAGAAAATGATTTGGGTTCTTGAATTGGTATTTAAATGAATGCTTATTAACTTATTGAAATTTTAACATATACTATTGCTATTAAAGGACATCCATCAAGACGTTGGTCTCCTTATGTCATGACGATATCGTTCAGAAATATTTTAATTGGAAGAGATAGCGTAGTAATCATCTTCACACACAGATTTATTTCTATTTTAACGGTCACGTTTACATATTTATATACCTAACAAATAGGTTGTAAAACTGGATATACGAGCTGTCAATATGTTGGCAAGCTAATCTTTATTCCAGGTACCCTCCCGCCATCCATTTCGAAATTACTATCCGCTGGAGAAGAGGTGCGAGCAGTACTCTGGAGCTTCGAGTTATTGCAGCAGTTGTTAAATACGACTCTATTCTTTGACTGAGGCTATTTAGAGTTGGCATTAAATCTTAACGTTTGGCACTGTTCTCCTTTCCTCTTAGACATTCTTCCAAACATTCTCCTTATTATCGTGTTCCGCCTTGAGGCAGATCCTGCCAGGGTCAGGGACCTTTCTCTGTGGTTCCAATCTGCTCTACTTGCCCTCAGCTATTTCCCATATCCTAGAAAGTTTATCACCCCGCTCTTGGACGTACTGAAATATCTGCTGCCCCCTTCGGGGCGATATTAATGTTGCAATTATCCTCCTTTAATGGAAACGGTATTAATAAGTGACTCTGTGCTGACTGCTTTCCTACAGCTGTGAGACTCGTTTTTAATATTTTTGTGGCTAATTTATGTTACTTGCCTTGTAGACTTTGCGGTGTAACGATTAGAGAGAGTTTCTGACTTCTATGCATTGTAGCACGGATTTGATACCTCGTGGCACCTTGTTTATTTATTTTTGCTAATATCCTAGCTAGATTTGAAAGGAATATTACTCAGCATTGAGACTGCCTAATAAATTTGAATAAATAAGACACAGTTGGGAAGCTAGTTGAATATTGTGTACAACCTACTAACAAGTAGCCATGATGATGATCTAAAACATAGGACGAAACCTTGGAATAAATGTTTTTCTCTCTTTTACTACGTTTCTAACCATTTGATTTTTTATGCTGGTTGATCTTGTTCTCCAACTCATACTTAATTTTATTTTTATTCCTTTTTTATTTTTAATTTTAATTAAAATTAAAATTTAATTTTTTTTCTTAATTTTATTTATTATACAAACAGATAATAAATTAATCTTCACTGGACATAATTACCTGAAAATATTTTAAGACCCGTGGGTAAAACAGACCCTCCCCCTAAAAAAATTAATAAAGCAGGTGGGTTCAGTTCAAAATTATAAGTTCCTTCTGATTGTTTATTTTGATTCGCAACATATTATTAAAGTTGTGAGCTTCGTCTCATTTTCAATTATAATTTATTTGGCTATGGTTGATTATTATTCTAATATATTACCAGTAGTTGGTCAATATTTATTATGCTGCTTTCAAATACGTAAAAAAAAAAAAAAAAAATCCTGTACCTCTACAACCCATGCAGGATCTTGGGTTCAGTACTAATTAGGGAAAGCACTTATTATTGGTTTGCGGATGTGTAAGGAGGTGATTTGACCGAGATCACGCTCAACAGCTTGGTTAACTAATTATTTTAATTAAGGGTATTCATTTTATAGAGGCTGGGTGTGCCCCAGGAGGGCCTACCTACCCACGGTCGCCCCACGGCCAATGAAACATAATAAATAATTTTTCTACAATGAGCCGGGATTAGAACCTGGGACCTTTTGCATTGGAAGCTCAGTACCCTACCACTGAACTACCCCACTACCTAAATATGTAAAAACGTAAACAAAAATCATAACGAAATTATAATTACGGCTTCACCTCTATCGATTGCGGTATCGACGATACTCAGGCAAACCAAATAAATAAATAAATAAATAATGCCAACTAATAAATATATGTTCTAATGCGAGTATTCATGATCTTCATGATGTCAAAGTGGTATATTCGACTTCGCTACAGTATTTACTGAAATTATTTAATTAGTTATGTATAAAACTTAAAATAGTTTAATATTCACTGTGATACTCGTTTTTATTTATTTTTTGTTTCTTCTTGATATAAATGTTTTTCTAATGGTAACGATAAATCAAAAGAAAAGGAGTTAATTTAATTAATTTACTTTTCTTTTTTTCTCTTCGAGTGAAGAACACTAACTGCCTCTCTAAAAAAGACGAGGTGACGCTTTCAAAATAAATTACTATTCCGCCGTGGCGAGCTCGATAAGGAGATATGGCGACCCGGCTTTTTCTGGTCACCCTGGTCACACTCTGACATTACATCAGTTTTTATTCTCCCGGCTACAGGAGGGTTTTCGCCTTTAATCTGAAACCTGAATAACCGCTCTCCTTGAGCACTGGGCCAGGGAGGAATGTGGCATTTAACTGATCCCGGCGTTAATTCTTAATATCACGGTCTAAATTGTCACACTTTGGCGGCG